CGACGACCCCGGCAAATATCGTCGTCTTGTTGGACGCCTAGTCTATCTTGCTTCCACACGACCTGACTTGGCATATTCTATTCATGTTCTAACACAATATATGCAAACTCCGCGACTCGAACATTGGGAAGCAGCAATACATGTGATCCGCTATCTCAAGGGCACGGTAGGACAAGGTATCTTGTTACGCGCTGCATCTCCGATACACGTCACTGGCTGGTCCGACTCGGACTGGGCTGGTTGCTCTGCAACACGGCGATCTGTCACCGGCTGGCTTGTGCAAATAGGAAGCTCTATCGTGTCATGGAAATCTCAAAAACAAGATACAGTATCTCTATCATCAACCGAAGCAGACTACAGAGCAATGACAGAGGTTCTCAAAGAACTTATATGGATTAAACGGCTTCTTCTCGAGTTCGGCATCAACCACTCTACACCAATGACCCTTCGCTGCGATAATCAATCCGCAATCTATCTCAGTTCAAATCCGGTTTTTCACGAACGAACAAAACACGTTGAAGCAGAATGTCATTTCATCAGAGATTTCATCGTCAACGGAACCATTTCGACGCAACATGTCTCTACCAAAGAACAACTAGCCGATATACTCACAAAGGCACTAGGACGAAAGGAGTTCGACATTTTTCTCTACAAGTTGGGCATTCGAGATCTCTACGCTCCAACTTGAGGGAGGGTATTGGGATAATACCATATCTTAGAGAATATAGGATTTCGATATAGAATATTTCCTTATTATGCAATCTCCTTTTCTAGCTAGTATTACGACTTTCATCGATGTATATAAACAAGACCTTATGGTCAAGAATGAATAACAGAAAACGATTATCGATTATAGAACTTCTCACGATCTCTATCACTCATCTCCTTTCCTTTGCAGCAATGTGCAGCTTCAAGAGCGTGTTGCTCTGGTTGGGTATGATCAATGCGATGAAGCGTCTGTTCATCTTCTTCCATGAAAACAATTCTATCTTCTAACCAAGAATCTCAAACTATTTCCATAAAAATAACTTTGCATCACACGCTTATCAATTGGTTTATGTTTAAAAATAAGTTTGATATTTCTTTATTGTTAAAAAGTTTAATTAAGAAACTACCAATAAACCACAATAATTTTGTGTCTCTTAACAAAGTCTCTTATCTTAATTTTAATAGTTAAAAATTTACTAAGAACCATTTATAAGTTTTACCAATAAACATGCTCTTAAGAAGTTCTTACCAATTCTAAAATCTTTATTTTAAAAATCAGTTGTTAGTATTTTTTTTCTTTTTGATTTATTTTTGGGATTTCTTTTTAAAGAACCTTTTTAAAAAAACGTCTATTGGAAGTGCTTTAAGTTTGACGAACCAAAAAATGGATTTCCCCCAGGTGTAGATCAACCTTAGAACTGGGAATATATTTAAAACGATGGACTCGTCACGATTGACGCGCTGCAATCGACCGACGTGAAATTTTATATTTGTGCAATTTTCCACAATAAACCAGGGAAATAAACCAGGGAGACGGTCAGGGAAATGAAAAAGAAGATGATGAAGGGTCTGATTAGTTGCAGCTGTAGATTTGTATTTTTGCTATAGAGTTTATGCTCTAAGATTTTAGGTTGTAGCTGTAAAATTTTTAGCTGTGAGTTTTCAAAAAAAAAATGATTGGTTAATATTAACATTCTACATATATATTAAAATTAAATTTATTATATTAACATTAAACTAAAATAATAATATCTTAAAATTAAAATTAAAATTTCTAAGTTGGTTAATTATTGTATAAACTGTAAAATGATTATGATATAAATTAAAATATCAAAATTTTATTTTTATATGTATGTGAAAGTTTTATTTATATACCATTTATATGTACTAATATTTTTACATATTATTTGAAATATTTTGTGAATTATATATGTATGAAATATATAATTATATTTATATTATTGAAATAAATTACTATATATGAAAAGAAGTGTACGTGCTTTTATAGAAAAAAGAAAAGATAATTTCAAAAGCAGTTGAAAGAGTACTCTAGAGAATTAATTAGTTTTCTACAGCCATAAAATAAAAGAAAAAGTAGATATAGCTGTGAAACTAAAAATTAACCAAAACTTGATTGCTTTTGTTTTAGTGCTATGGAGAAAATTAAAGCTGTGCACAGCACACACAGCTTGGTCTAATCATCCCCCAAAGGTTAGGTAGAAAATGAGAAGCTTGCATGGAAGAATCAGGCGGAAGTAAGGATATAAAAATGAGTTTTCTAGACGAGTTTTAAATGGATTTTAACTAGAGAAATTGGTGGAATTGTCCCTAAATACACCTCATATTTGCCATCTAACCTTCCAAAATAGAAACTATTTTGTCTGACCATTATACCCCTATCTCATTCTCTCTCTCTTCTCTTCCATATCTTATAATCTATTTATCTCTCACACATGACATATTTATACTTTTATTTTTTCATCATAAATCTCTATTTTTTACTCTGATTCTTTTGACACCCATATTGCTAATGTTATTATCTCACACTAATTCTATTATTTCTAATTTTCAAATCTTGAAATATACATTCTTTTATTTGGATAATATGTAAGTTAGCAGGTATTTCATTATTTACCCGTTATTATTATATTTTAATGAATTTGTAACCGATACATAAAGTGTTAGCTGTTACAAATAGGATTACGGCTATTTGATAGATAATTGATTAGCGGTTAATATATATATTTTTATGATAATAGTATTATTAACATGCTAATATATTTGTTAGCGATTTATTTAACACATTAATAAATAGATAT